TTCTGGTACGCTATATAGTATCGTGAAATTCATAATAGTTATTGCGAAATCGGCAAATGAAAATCATGCAAAAACAAACATTCAAATATACCCGCCCTTTTCAGGGCCGTGACGTCATTGGAAGGTCAGCTTGCCAGTCGGGCGAGCAGTCTAAAAAATAGAATATGCCAATCATTTGTTCCGTGATGGGGCGCGGGGACTGGAGCGAGCTTCCAAAGCATTCATTTGACACCATGAAACTGCTTCGAATAAATTGGGAACAAATTCTACAGTCCAAAGAGTGAACCCCTGCACTTCCACTGACGTCACTTTTTTATTGTTGCCAGTAGAGACTTTCAGTTTGAAAAACACGGTGAGGACCAAAATTGTAAATTCAATAACTTCGTGAAAAAAACTTATTTTGACCTAATATTTGGGATACTATTTTGGCGATGTTGTTTGGCGAGTTTAGCAAAATTTCAAGTAAATCGGGAACTATGAAGAAATCGGCGGAGTTCCCCTTTAAAAAATAATGATGTCAATGAATCACGCAATAGGCTAGTGTCACTGATGTCTACGATGGAGTTGGGAGGGCCGTTCCAGTCTAATATGCCTCGCAGTACAGCGGAATTAATAAATGCATTAGTCGTATCGGTCAGACGTTCGAAACTTCTGGTGTTTGGTGATTGTGTAGGGATCCATTAAGAGGCTTGAGAAAATGTACATTTGCATTATAATAGTAAATTTTATGAGTGACAAAAAAATTACGGCGGTTTTCAAATAGAGGGAGAGAACGATCACGTTTGAGAGAAGAACCATTTATATTATAAGAATAACTTGATGTTATTAAATGTGACCTTTGATATTTGGACGAATTCAATGCGTTTGATCAAGTAGTTTTAAGGGGTCTTCTAGATTGGGTGAAGCGTATTCAAGTTTGAGGCAAACATAAGTTTCGTAGGCTAATTTCCGAAGGCAAGGATGGGCTGCTTTGAAGTGTCATTGATGGACATTATGAGGCTCAAGAAAAGGTACATTTGCATTATAATAGTAAATTTTATGAGCGACAAAAAATGTATGTATCGCTTAATGTATCCCATAATTCGATTATCATTAGCAATTATATCGTTACCTGGGGGACGCATAAAAGGTCAGGAGTGAAGTGAAATCTTAGATATTTGGAAGTAGAAGCAACGTCTAAACCAAGAGAAGAGGAAAAGAAATACAGAGTTTTTTTTTTTGCTAATACAATTCAGTAGTTTACATTTTAATGTGTTAAGGGGCATTTGCTATTTGTCACACCAATTATGAATGATGTCAAGATTGCGCTGGAGAAGTAGATTATCATCTCAGTGGTTAGTTTTCCAGTAAAGGACACACTCATCTGCAAACAAACGCATATTAGAGGACAATAGTGTGGGAAGGTTATTGTGGACAAGAAACAGAAGAGCGCCTAAGACAGTGCCTTGGGGGACGCCAGATGTAATATTCGAAATTTCGGCCTGAAAGTCCCCATTTTTATGTCTTGGTTGGTGTATGCTACAAGCCGCCTCATGTTACCGCTGATTTTGTCCAGGATCTTTGTATTAGCCTCGATGACGTTATTTCTCGTTACCCCGGATGTCCCGTGTTTCTTGGAGGAGATTTTAATTACCCAGGAATTGACTGGATTTCTTGTGAACCAATACCTGACTGCAGACATGTTTCCGAGTGTTTAGAGTTTTTGAATGTTTTTAAATCACTTTTCCTCTCTCAAGTTGTTCTTGAACCTACCCGAGGTACCTCTATTCTAGATCTATTTTTCACGACTGCCCCTGACTTAATTAAGCGCGTAAATGTTCTTGAAGAAATTAGTGATCATAAAATGGTTTTAGTCGAAGTCGAAATGACAACTCAGCACCCCCGTAACCAGTTTAAAGAAATCCACGACTACTCAAAGGCAAAAACTGATGAAATAAGCACAACTATGAGGATCTTTTTTGATGACTTTGAGCGGTCGTTCCGCCTACGGTCTGTTGAAGAAAACTGGATCGCATTTAAAAATCAGCTGAATTATATCCTCAGAAACTTCGTTCCAACAATCAAAATTCCGAACAACCCTTTACGTCCGTGGTTTTCTAAAAATCTTAAGTCTTTTTTGAACAAAAAGAAACGCTTGTACAACAGGGCTGTGGAAAGAAACACGAATTTGTCTTGGGACTTGTATAATTCCCATTCATCTATATGTGCTTCCGAAATTAAAAAAGCGAAAACAACATTCTACAGAGATGACCTAAATGGCCTTCTGAAGTCAAATCCAAAAAAATTCTGGAGTTGCATAAATCCACCGAAAACAAGTTGTGATCTTAACTTTACGGATGCGGAGGGAAATAGATGCACTGACCTTGAAACTGCCAACAATTTTAATGAATGTTTTAGTGAAGTTTTTACCAACGAATCGTTTCCGTTACCTTCTTGTGAATTGACCTATGACCACGCTTTCTTGGAAAAGATCACTGTTTGTTCACGTGGTGTAAGTAAACTCATCGAAGACCTTCCTTATCGTTCCTCGCCAGGCATAGATGGCATTAACACTAAACTATTGAAACTTACGCAGCCGTTCTCTAGCGACATACTAGCTTCATTGTACCAGCAATCCCTCGAAGATGGGCATTTGCCGAGTGATTGGAAGCATGCAAAAATAATTCCGGTTCACAAGTCTGGTGACACGTCATGCTTAAATAACTACAGGCCTATATCGTTGACGAGCATCCCTTGTAAAATATTAGAGCATATCCTATATAGTCATATTATTAATTTTGTCATGGAGAACAACATTCTTTTTGAGGGACAACACGGCTTCAGAAAAGGCAAATCGTGTGAGACTCAACTTTTCGAGCTTGTAACCGATCTTTATGATAACGTTCATTCGCTCCAACAGACCGACTTGATATTTCTAGACTTTTCCCGGGCTTTTCATTGTGTACCGCATCAGCGGTTATTACAAAAACTTGAAACGTTGAATATAGACCCCTCACTGATATTTTGGATTAGACAATTCCTTACGAACAGAACTCAATCCGTTGTAATTTCTGATCAGTTGTCATCGTCCACTGATGTTAAGTCTGGCGTGCCCCAGGGCTCTGTCCTGGGACCCCTTCTCTTCCTTATATATATAAACGATCTCCCTGTTAGCATTTCTTCATCGATTCGACTCTTCGCAGACGATTGTGTATTGTATAAAAAGATAGTACATATAGACGACACCTCGACACTTCAAACCGATCTGAGCTCTATTGCTTCGTGGTGCGACAAGTGGCAAATGCGAATTAACATAGATAAAACCAAATATATGACCGTGACAACAAAGAAAACATCAATTAATTGCAGCTACTCTATCAACGGTGTCCCTCTGGAAAAGGTAAATAAATATAAGTATCTGGGTGTTTTTATTTCCGATAGTCTTAATTGGCATGACCATATTAACTACTTAGTTGGGAAAGCAAATCGTTCTTTAGGATTCATCAGGCGGAAGTTGTATTTAGCTCCCCCTGAAACTCGTTTGCTAGCTTTTAAGTCCTTTGTCAGATCGCAGCTCGAATACGCCAGCATCATATGGTCTCCCCACCAGGACTACCTGATTGACCTAATTGAAAGAATTCAAAACAAAGCCGCGCGCTTCATATTTAGTGACTATTCACCGTACACGAGCGTTTCGGCACTGAAACAAAGGGCTAATTTACCTTTATTAAAAGTCAGGCGCAAAGTCTCCCGTCTTACCTTCATTCACAATATTTATTACTATAATGTTAGCCTTAAGGAACTCTTATTACCTCCCCCTCATCGCATCTTTCCCAGACATGATCACCCTCACAAAATTCCTTTATCAAATTGTCGCACTAACCAGTTTCGCAACTCACCATTACAGCTTGCCATTGCAGAATGGAACTCTTTGCCCCACCACGTTGTAGATATCATAGATAAAAATGAATTCAAATCACCATGTGAACGTTTGTTTCACTTTTCCATGGAATGAATCGCGGGATGGTGTCTTTCTTGTTTTTCCTGTGCAAAGATGGTCTTTTCTCTCTTTTTGTAGCCTGGTTGGCACGTTGTTTCCTGTTTGTGTAAAAGTGTATTCCTTTCGAGTGGGTGCATTGCATTGTTTCTTGTTTATTAAGAAAATATGTACGATATGTATCGTTTCAATATTTTTGTCGAAAACCTTGTACTCCCCCCCCTCATACAATGCCCGAAAGGGCGCTTTGAGGTAAATTAAATAAATAAAAATAAATAAATAAATTCACATATATAAAACGAAGCGAAAGAAAGTTACGGATCTATGACAGAGTTAGTGACTCCAGATTTAGTGGGGAGAGTTTTGATATTAAACGACAATGAGGTACACGATTGAAGGCTTTAGATAAATCAAGAAACCTGGCATCAGTTTTTGAGTTAGTGTTCATGTTAACTTGAAGCGCATGGGTGAAATTCAAGCAACTACCTATCGCATAAAAAGTCTTTCCGAAATTCATGCTGATATTCATAAAATAAAGTGTTAGATTTATGGTACGACGCTACATCAAAGAATATTACATGTTCTAATAACTTGGACACCGCATTAGTTAATGATATGGGACGGTAGTTATCCGCAGTATGGCAGTTGCCCCTTTTGTAGATTGGAACGACGTCCCCAACCTTCCACTAATGTGGAATGCAGCCGGTGGATAATGACCGTGTGACTAGCAAACAGCATATTTCACTGGTTAACGTCCTTAGTAACTTTTAAGATCTTTGAAAAAATTGTGCGGACTCCAGCCGAGGCAGAAGAACGACACTTTTAGCCCCTTCTTGCAGCTCATATTGCTGACGTTCCGCCAGGAAACCACGTGACCCCAATCGAACGTTTGGAAACACTCTAAATCTAGGCACACGAGGGATGACGTCTGTGGGGGAAAGACGCGGGCCATTGTTTTCTATAGGCGGTATTGGTCCGATGCCTGGTTCGAAGCCAACTCGCGTCCTGTACCTGCGACCCGCAGTGGGTCGGCGGTTCTCGCAGAGCCTGCGGCGGCACCTGTCCCTGAGCCAGCTGGTGCAGGCGTGGCGCGTGCTGGCCCGGGGCGGAAGCCAGGGGTCCGGCCACATGCTGCGCGACTGGAGCCAGCTGGACCTGACGGCCCTTTGCCAAGAGACGCTGTTCGGGGGGCAGCAGCAGCCCAGGCCCTCGCTACACTTCCTCTACAGACGTCAGTGCCACAGCCGGCTTAGGGGCTGCGCTCTTGCCCGTCCCTAAGCCGCACACTGCTCGTACATGATGCAAAAGACACGCTGTTCGTGTTCGACATGATGACAAACGTATGCTCGAGGCATGTATGCTTCAAAGATATGCGCAGACAGTTTTTGTGTGAGAATAATAAGAGGGTGTTCACTGCAGACACAATGACAGAATTATCTACATAATCAAAGCACGTTCGCTTCGTATGTTTGTATGCTTGAAACGTCTCTGCAGACAGGCTTTTGTATGACGAATGTCACAGGGCGGTCATACAAGCGAGACATGCGCTTCATACAGCGTCTGCAGACTATCTTTTCTATGATTTATTAGCGGAGTGGTCGCGGCTTTAGACTCCGTCGAGCTCACGTTAATTCACCATCCAAAGTATGGTGGGCTAGAAGGGAGAGCTGTAACGGTCGCGCGGGCGAGAGCAGTTTCCCGTTTTCTGCGCAGCGCTCGCCGTACGCTCGTCCAGCCGACAGCAGAGCAAATCTGCGAAAGCTTTGCGAAAGGTGCGCCGCGGAACTTGAGTCGTCGCTTTCGCTGGCTGGAACTTGCTGGAACCCGGAACCGGGGAGAGCGGCGAGAGCGTGAGGTCGAGACTGAAGGGACAAGGGTCGCTTGGTGATTACGGACAAAGAGCGGCGAGCAGTCTTGTCGCTGCCGTAGGCTATTTGAATATACCGCACGCTGAGCGGCGGAAACGGGGGACTACTCTCGCTCGCTGTGCCCGGCGCGTGATGGTCACACTCCCCCTTTCTAGCCTACCATATCAAAAGAACGCCATAGGAACTGAAAAATAAATTGACAAAATTAGCCAATTTTAGTTGAAAAGAGTATGCAGAATGACGTTTTATGGGGAACGCAGCGGGCGCTGACGTCCACCCTCGGCTTTCCTGGCAGGCGCCGCCGTGTCTTTTCAAAGCATCGCCTCGTCCTCCTTTTCTTAAGCTTCTTTCTTTTTATTTTGTTCTTATTATATTTTTTGCAGTACATATGCACACGGTATGACGACGACGAATATACTACTGTCTGAACCAAATAGAGTTCGTTAAATTATTAGTTAAAGTCGACATGTAAGGTGCCTTGATTTATCCTAAATGAAATCGGCACCTTGTATCGAAGCAACCATTGCCTCGAGTTGCAACGAAGAAATTACTTACATCTAGTAAACATTTGACGCCATAAAATCAAATAAAATAACGCTACTGGGACCATGGGGTTTTATATTTGACAAAACAGCAAATATGAGCAAAGTCAGAGTAATTAATTTTTGTAGATATTCTGCATTTCTTTTTGCTAAGCAGGGTCGAGAAACACCGTGATTTGTTTTAGAAGGATCAGATAAATCTGATTTATTTTATTCAAAACGGGTGTATTGGATTTAGGTTTCTTTGTCTCCAAGAATAGTAATACATTAATACTATATCTATGTTTAAACCTGGAATATTAGTTGAACAATCTGTCTGATCACTGATAATGTTGCGGAACTACCTTATTTAACAATATTTTATTGATGGCAACTCGCCCTATTAGGACAAGAATAGGCTTGATTTCTTAAAGTCGGTTAACGATCTCTATTTGCTTCGTTTTTTGCGTCCTGACATACTTACAATATTAAATTACTTTCCTAGTTGTCGTTTCTCTGTTTCGCGTTCTGGTTTGCTTTACGTAAGTAGTGATGAACGAAGTGGAAGGTATAAATAAAGCTTAAGGCTCCAATTACCCAGAAGAGATGTTTGTTGATCGTTGTTCAGCCTTATATAGATCTTTCTTTTTTATGACTATTTGATTTAATTATAGACAAATTCACAGAGAAAAAGAGTATTAGCAAATGAGAGAAAAAAAGCAAGAAAAAATATTTCCGGGGTAATTTTTGGTGGGAAAGGTTCGATTTCATTCAGCATGGCGAGACTGGCCTGATATCTATTATTATTAGATCACTATTTATATCAAGATTAAAATAATATTAAAAGGCGATTTAAATAATATTAAAATCACAATTTAAATCATATTAAAATCACAATTTAAATCATATTAAAATCACGATTTAAATAATACTAAGGTCACAATTTAAATACATATTTAAATCTACTTGATCTTTATTATCCACACTCATGACAATGTTAGGGACGATACCCAATAACCTACCTTTTTTGTTTTCTTTCTTCTAACCTTGAAACAAAACAAAAAAATAAAGCGAAGTCATTGGTTTATTGAAACACTGGTTTTTGTGCGTTATGCTTATTCCGGCACGAAGCACATTTTTCTTTGGAATCTTTTTAAATAAGTTTTCTACATTGTCTCACTTGTGTGGCGATATATTAAGATCTTTCAATATTAAAGTAGGTTCAATCAATTTCCCGATGCGCGCTAAATAAAAAAAAATCAACGTGTTTTGCATTCAAACGGAAAATGCTTAATGCACTAAAGGTTTATAAGCTTCTAAGGCCCGATGTGTAGACCTACCCTCGGCTTTGACGTCACGCCCGCTGCGGTGACGCTCCTGACGACACGTGGCATGGGCAGGCTTCCCACCTGCCATGAATCTGCATGGTTTCTGCGCACGCGAATGCCCACACTTGGTCTAAGCAAACGCGGGCATGTTTTTTAAACAGCGCGTTAACCTCTCTTTGCAGTGGTCAAAGAGTTTGAGGCATTTCTGGCAGAAGACACCCCCGTGGAAGTCTATCTAGATTGGCTCGAAGCTGTCATCCGGAAAACCGTGTCTTTGGTGAGAAAACATTCTCGTTCCAAAAGTGCTTTTATGTGTGTATATATAGGTATATACCCTCGTGTCGGGAACTAAGGATAAAGTGTGATGTTAATTAAGGCGTGTTAAAAAAGTTGTGCTTATGTATTTACTGGTATTTCTCTATGTATTTACTGGTATTTCTCTGTCTGTACTCTTAAGACCGCGCAAACTCTGTGACTTGCGTCGCAGCCCAGCCTGCGGAGAGGGCTCTCTGCCCGAAAGCTAGCTGGGGAGTTCCTGCTTCTCTGGTCGGCATTTGGGACAAGGATCATTCGTGACATGACCCTTCACAGCGCGACGACCTTCGGTAAGTTTCCATGTCTTCATTTATCAAATATCGCAGCTTATCTTCAAGACCTAATTCTCTAGTGTGTCCACTGTGCTTCTTAAGCTGTAAAACGAACCGGAATAATCGACGCCTGCACATGGAAAGCTCTAAATTTCAGCGGATGTGCATTATGGCGGTGGATGTTACCTTGTGAACTTTCAAGGCGTAGTTTTATGTCACTAAATAACTAGAGCATCAAACTTTCTGGAGTCAACGGCGGACGTGTTCGAAGACGACCGAGTTAGCGGTGAATGTAACTTGTGGCGCCATTTCCAGGTAGGCGCAGCTGGCAGACGACAGAGTGCGTCGTGCGGTAGAAGCCCCTATCGGGAACGCGTGACATTTTTGTCTAGCATACTATCATATTCATTTTTATTAAAAAGTGACTTGACTATGCACATGCTTTCCCATTTGTCTGATCTTGCAATTATATGTTTTTTTCCGCCCCCCGTATAACACCTTCTACAAGGGTCACAACGCGCGACCACGAAAGCGGCGTTTTAGCGTTCTTTCATGTATAAACCACGTTCCAAACCAAACGTCTGTCAGCGTCCGTCGATGTGTGGTAAAAAGCGACAGGAAAAAACTAAAAAAACAAATTAAGTTTTTTATAACTTTTATGTGTTTTTTGTTTTGTTTGCTCGTATATCGTCAGGATTGCCAGATACTCGCAGATCAACTCGGCAAGTTTTTGTGAGGTATGGTCCCCAAATATCCAAATGTCGGGCTATAAGAATACCCCAGAACATGGAATTTTATTCAAGGCATCTGAAACATCTCTTTGAAACACTAATGACACATACATGACATAATACGTGTATTTACAAAAGAACGCAAAAAGAAGACCAAACATTACTAGTTTCCAGAACCAGTGGCGGAATACGGGTACATCACGGCAGTCTTCCGCGGATTCAGAGGAAATGTCCCAATGCCCTAACCCTTCCCCCCTCCCCCCCAGTTTCATTCCGCATGTGCAAAAATTTAGACCGGGGAAAAGCTCGGGGAGGGATGTTTTCTTATACATCTGATACCCTGACCAAATTTTTGCTGCACCGAATTTAAAAAAAAAAACAAATGATGAAAGTTACTTGAATGCGCTTTTCACTGCATCTTCATAGGGCTCGGTGGATGTTAGATGGGAATGTAACCATTACTTTTATCAGAGTAATTAGTAAAATTCGTTAAGTCACTTTTTAAATTAATGTAATTGGGGTATCCGTTTAAATCACAAACTTTGAGGTGGTCATATTCTAAGAGTGCTCCATTTTGCAGAATTCGCGTAAGCAGCCCGTGTTCCGAGACATCTGCCCCCAAATTTTCTACCTTAATCCTACTTTTTTCCACACAATCCGCAAACCCGCGAAACATGACACTCTAGCTGAACTTTGCTACATTAGCCGGATAAGAGTACAAAATTCGGGGACGAATATCGCGGAACACGGGCTGGTTACACGGATTCTACCAAATGGAACAGTGTTGGCCTACGACCGCCTCATAGTTTGTAATATAAACGTATATCCTAATTACAGTAATTAAAAAAAGGAATTAACGAATTGAATTTAATTGGTCTAATGATTGTGATGGTTATATTCTTATCTGATGTCCGCCAAGCCATTTAAGTACGCAGTGAAAACCGCATACATATATCTTCCCCCCCCCCCTTTATCCAAAAACCTGGTGCAGCTAAAAAAAAAAACACCCTGTAATATTATCAAACATAAAGATGCTTTGAATAGAAGAAAGAAAAAACATTAAAAAAAAAAAACCTACCAAAGCAGAAAGAAACAGTTTTACAATAAACATTACATACGTCAACCATCTCTTCAAACAATGAGAACCAAGAAATGGAGCGTAGCTAGCTAAGCATCTTTTTCAATGGGCGGAGCCTAAAGCGGGGATACCTCCACCTAAATCGCGTCTGGCGGCGTAAATATCATTTCAGTGTCCCTGTAAGTGAGTTGTTATCCGACAGGATCGTTCCATCTGCTGCGGCTTCTCCTGGACGAGTACGTGCTGTTCCTGCTGGAGCGCGTCTTGACCGAGGACTTGGTGCGGCAGCTCCTCACCAACGTCTCGCGGGACCTGGTGCTTTCGGTCTTCCCCGAGGTCGGCCTCGCCGGCCTCTCGTCCGACCAGGGTGGACGAGGCAAGTGGCTCAGCGAGTCGCCGCTGGGCTCGGGCTTCAAGAGTCAGGGGTTTCCTGATGACCACCTAAGCTCGGACGACACTGCTGAAGGTCGGTGATCCAAGGGCCTGAATATAACTGCTGCGCATGAAGGCTGGTCTACATACCTGCGACTGCTTACGACAGAGTGCCTTAAATCCTCTTGGGATCTTCTACAAGAAGAGAACATTCAGGCACCACTTATCGGGAAGCCATGGGAGACTTAATATTCCTGTATATTTTTGTATATGTTTTTCGCACACCCTTTTTTTTTATAAACTACTATTTTTATAGCTAGTATACGTACATTTGATCTCGAAAGTACTGCAAAACCATCACCGTAGTTTAATTTAGTTCCAAAAGTATACCTTATACACGGCACCACCGAGCCAGTGTGTTCTCTATTCCTAAGTGGCCAATAAAACTCGGTCGAAAAAAAAAAAAAAGAAAAAAAAAAAGAAAAGGAACGCACTTGCGTGAACGGTGTGTTAGAAGTAGGTATAGTTTTCTAAAGTTAAAAATATTTTATATTTCTGTTTTTTTCACATTTCCACGGGGGCAACTTTATCTTGAAAAAAAAAATCCTTTTCTTAAATAGCTTAAACCTGTTACATTGTCCATTCCTGGTGCCTAATCCGCAAGTAATAAATGCTCATACACTGTGCAGCTTGGCAAATTCCTGTTGCATTAGCGCACAATGTAGCCTGTGTCATACCTACATAAGTCTAGAAAAACAAATCCTTGCATAGTCCGCACTTGTAGTTTGTCCGCACCGAATAACATCTTTTAAACGTGTATAGTCCGTCGACTTCGGAACATACGCTATATCTACAGCGTGAACGAAATGGATTGAACGCGTTTTAAACTGACCGCTTCAATTGGCTTCTTGGTTATCGCACTGGGATTTTCTTGATTCTTCTCAGGTACGTTAAGTTTGATTCTTCTCAGGTACGTCAGGTACGTTTGATTCTTCTCAAGTACGTCAAAATCCTGAGAAGAATCAAACAACGCAAAAGAAGCCCCCAACGCCTTTCGCAGTGGTCCCGTACGTTCACGGCATTACTCATCGGTTAAAAAAGATTGCCGGCCGACAAGGCATCCACGTTGTGTGCTCCGCCCCCAACAAGGCCTACGCCATGTGCCGTAGGGTGAACCGGAAAACCGCCCAGAACGGGACGACGACCTGCAGCACTGCGCATCGAACACCCTACGCCCCATGCGAAAAAGGAGTTGTTTACAAGATCCCTATGTCATGTGGCAAAAGCTACATAGGATAAACGGGGAGGTGCATCAACGACCGCACCAGAGAACATGCAGCCTCTGTGACCGCACTAACGTCGGCGGGCCACCTTTCGGCACATTGTCGGGCCTGCAAATGTGCTCCTGATTTCACAAGCGTCCCCGTCTTAGCAAAACACCGAAAGCAGCTTGGAAGGGAGCTCCTTGAGGCGTTGGCCATTGAGGAGGGGGAGGGAGAATGCGTCAGTGTTGCCTCCATTGCGCTCTTGCCCAAAGAAAAAATGTATCTGAAGAGAGCGGCACCTCGGATGAACCAAGTTGGGACCCTGTGACTCCGAGATCCGACCAAGTAAAACGAGGGTGACACCACCGGAAGTATAAAAGACAAAAAGAAAGAAATTTTTGAAGATCCGAAAGTCGAAGAAGACAAAAACTCCATGAATCGTGAGGAGAAAAAGGAAGTTTCTGTCTAAGCTCCGACTGAAGTAGTAGAAGCTACCCTTTTGGGATGGGGAAAGTCGAAGAGGTGGAGAACACCACGGTTCGTGAGAAGAAAAAGGAAGTTTAAGTCTAAGCTTTGACTGAAGAAGAAGAAGATACCCTTTTAAGGATTGGGTTGAGGAAAAGGAAGTTTATAAAAAAAGGGTTGATAGTCCAGCAGTGTGTTTCTTTCTCTCTTCGTCGCTTTTCCTAACGTTCGGCTGGTAATCAGTAAGCATGTATTTTCGTCTTCTTTCGTATTTCTTTTAACCGTATTTAAATTGTTATATCACTTCCTTCTCTTCTGTACAAAACAATTAGCAATGTCTATCGCACATTACCTTCGAGAATCAAGATAAAACAATTATTTTTCCGTTAGCGTTATGGATGGACTACTAACACAGGTATCACTTCTTTTATGATGTGAGCTGCCTCTATTATCTCACGTGTTAACTGATGATGGTTCTTTCCGATTATGGTGCTATTTTTGAAGTCCGCGGCCATACAGTCACGGCAGTGAATGTCCAAGAGTCCTGAGTTTGCTAATCGGGTGTTGTTGTTGTGTTCCCTTAATCTGTCGTTAATACATCTTCCAGTTTGTCCTATGTACTGTTTGCCGCATGATAGGGGAAAGGAATAAATCACTCTTTCTGACAAGGTATGTATGGGCTTTTATGCTTTTTAGTGCAGGCGGTATTAGTTTTTGGTGTGGCGTTAACTTTTTTACATAGGCCTGATAGTTTGATGGGGCGGAAAAGACTACGTCGATATTTGCGCGATTCCCAATCTTCTTCAGGTTATGAGAAATGTTATGAATGTAGGGGATGACTACCGGTCTCTGGTTACTGAATCTTTCGCGTGGCTTGCGGGATGTGATTTGACCTTTTTTAATCTGTTTAAGGAGACTTTCGGCGACTGAAGTTAATATATGTGAAGGATATCCCGCACTTACTATCCTAGATACTTGTCCTGTGAAGCTTGTTAGGCCTGAATGCGGGCAGGACTTGAAAATAAAGTTTTTGAAGCACTGATTAATTATGCCTCTCTTTACCAATTTGGAATGCGCCGAATTATAATTGAGGAGTGGTTTTTTCCCTCTTGGCTCATACGACCAGCAGACATGACGGGGCTGAAGAGACAATGTTAGGTCCAGAAATCTTAAGGATCCTAGCTCTGGAAGCTCGTGTGTAATCTCCTAAGGGTTTAAGCATGTTTTAAACTTGACGAGCACATTGGGCACATGAATCGGGAGGTCTTTTTCGTTGGTGTCCAGGAGTATCAAATAGTCATCGACGTAGCGGAACACCTTCACAACAGTCGAGGAATCTAAGCTCTTTTAAAGCAGTCTGTCGTGGTGCGCTAGGGGTGCGCTATGCAGGATCCAATGCAGACTCCCTTTTTTTGAAGGTATGTGTTACCGTTCCAAGACACGAAGGTAGACCTGAGGCAAAACCTAAGCAAATCAAGAAAGTTGCTTTGGGAAAGTCCTGAGGTATTCTGGAAAGCTATGGCAGCATACGAGTCAATGCTGTCTTCAATGCACTCTAAAAGGCGTACCTGAGGTAAAGCATAGTATAAGTCTTTGACGTCAATTGAGAAGGCCTGGTATTGGTTGGCACTGTGTTCTTGTAAAAAGCTTATGACCTCATATGAGTTTTTTTACCAAAAAGGGGTCATCAACTGTTAATAAATTAAGTCTTTTTTGTAAAAATATAGCCAAAGATTTTTGCCAGGTGTCTCTGACACAATAACTCGCAAGGGACACTCAACCTTGTGCGTCTTGGCGCTGAAAAATATTTCTAAGCTAAGGTGTTTGCTTTTTTCAAAAGAAGGGCAAGGATCTTTTAAGGTATCACTTCATCATAAAAAGAAGTGATACCTGTGTTGGTAGTTCATCCATAACGCTAACGGAAAAAGAATTGTTTTATCTTGATTCTCGAAGGTAATGTGCGATAGACATTGATAATTGTTTTGTACAGAAGAGAACAAAGTGAGATGACAATTTAAATACGGGTAAAAGAAATAGAAAAGAAGACGAAAATACAATTTGAGTTGAAAGTCAGCGCGACGTGAATTACCGTTTTTCTGGTGTGAGTGTGAGTGTGAGTTTGAGAGTGAGTGAATCTACTTAGCGCTTCTCCTACAATACGGGTGCTTTCAGTTTTACCTAAATTTTATAAAAACCGACTCGGGGTTATTTTTGGCGTTTATCGGTATCCACCAAATACACACAACCCTAATCATAATTTATCTTCAATTAGGAGCGGCCAACAAAGCAGGCTGTTTTTTAACGAAGCTTGAGATTTCTTCCGTTTTTTCTATGTTGCTTCCGCAGGTTTCCATGGTCAAGGAGGATCCCCTCCATTGTGGTCACATGGCAATGGCGACTGCTCTCATACGTAGGTTTTTTCGTGTATAAATTGAGAAATGACTTGGAATGTTAAAGAAACGCATCGTTGGTTGTATAAGGCATGCACTAACTCGTATTTTAAAGCATATACATGTTACCCAAGCAAGTAACTAAATACCTGTACTCGCTCATGGCTCGAAAAGTAGCAATATACTTTACTCACTACCGGTCCTCAGAAGAAGGGCTTTACTTTGCCTCAAAAGTACTGAGTTACTTTTCTTGTTACTTCGACGATAAAATACGCAAGTGCTTTTGTTTCATGGTTTATTGTCTTATTTTCAGTAGTCGCTGCACTTAAGCAGTAGCTCCCCCTTCGAGTTTTCATCAGTTATGTTTTCTCGCAGTTGATAATGGGTTATTCCTGTTAGCAACTAGTGGGTTTACATCCGGTTCGTACACGATTTTAGAAGGTTCAAGCAACGAACCTTTTTGTGCTCGCTGGATGAAGGACATTACTAGCTGTAGAGTTCGACTGACGTGTTCAACAATAAGCGTCGCTATACTGTCATACTGTTTAGTTGTCTTTCGGGTTGTGCACATGCCTTCGTCCCGATAGACGCATACTCAGGCTAGAATGAAAACAAGGCTGTTTAATGGATCTTGCGCACGGTACTCCTTAAAAGTAACGAAATACAATCTCTCGTTAGTTGAATTTAAAAGTATAAGTACGTTAAACGTAATGTAGGTAAGACAGCGCAGAACAACAACAAATGAAAGAAAAGAACAACCAAGGCAGGGACAGGCGTTTTACCTACATTACGTTTAGCCTACACCAACTGGCCCAGCTCTCAATTTTGATAAGTACGTTACACGTTCCTTTTCTGGAAAAGTAACTAAATGAGTTGTTCTCTGCAGAAGAAAATAACTAGGCAGAAGTAACCCGTTAGCAGAACGCGTTGCGTATATGTCTGGAATTTCATCTTACGATGTTCCGCAACGAAAGCCACCAGCCATCTAAGCCAATCCAGTGCTCCATGAGTGCCACAGAACTTCGCGGTCCGCTTGTCACTCCACGGTAACCGAAAGGCCACGCATCAAGCTCTGACCTATGGATTGGCTCCAGTATGGTTCCTGGAATGCTTCTGCGACTAGTGTGGTTACCGCGCCCTAAAAACTGTGTTCTAAATCTTATCCGAAGGAATTCAAGTTGCACCGGTGGATCAAGTCACGTGACCAGAGATAGAGCAACGCGGGACGCGTGTAGTTTTCCGAACCCCAAGGTGCATAACATTTGCCTATGCATGGCTTCCACATGACGTCATTCAAAGAGCGCTCTCATGACCACCAGAGAAGTGGGGAAGAAGGAGCTTCCCTCTTACTAGGATCCTCTTTTGTGCTTCCCGGATTTGCACAGAAGTCGCTATTCTCCTCTTAGTAGGTTATAACAGATTAACTTGTCACTCAAAATTCTTACAAAAGCAGCATCCCCTCCTCCTCTTACATGGTAGTCAAAAGTATGCGATGTGACTTCAGTGCAAGCCATGTAGAGTGAGATCGACTAAATATTGGAGCGCGACCAAAAAGTTGATCATCGAATTCCGCTTGGTGACGTCCCAGAAGTGTCACAGTGTCGCTGAATGAGACCCTGGCGGTGTCGCAGTAGTGGTGGTGGTTGTCGCAGACGCCTGTTCTGCTACGAATCGCTCTCCGGCTTGACAGTCCGCGGAAGATTCCGTAGCCATTGGTTGGGACTCCGCGATGACAGTGACGCTAGCGTTCAGTCGTGCTTTATGCCGAGACTCCTATCACCAACCTCCAGGATCGCGACATCCGACCACATCACACACTTACTTTTCTGACGTCCTTTGTTGCTACTTTGAACGACTTTTTAAGTATGGGCGGGAGAGAAAACTGAACACAGCAGTCGAAAACGCATTCCAGGCACTGTAGTTCCGGTGCCTCGTAGCGTCCCTTCCGCTACTATTGCGGACGATATGAGCTGCAACTGTCCTGTGTGCTTATCTGGCATAACTGCCTTTTTTTTTTGACAGAGAGTTAAAGTTTGAAGAAGGAATGGAATGCGAAGTTTAAATCCCATATTTAGGACTTCTTGACAAATTGAGACATCTTACAGCTTGTGAGTACCACGAACGCAACCCACCCCCCCTCCCCTCAGAAAAAAAAAAAAGAATGCCGGATAGGGTGTTTGAGCTCATATTGTCCGCGGAATCCCAACTCCTGGCTGCTGGTGACCGTTGTGCAATTTTTAAAAACAGATGCATGGAAACATTTAAAAGACTTGCTGCAGGAGAACAATGAGCAATATTAAATAATGATAATGATGACCAGCACGAAACTCCCATCAACATGAAAACAATGGTGTTTCTTTCTTTGGTGAAACTCAGCTGCCGTGTAGCACACATAACAGGATTATGACTCGGGATAGCTCATTTTAGACCGGCACGTGACACAACCAATTGAAGAAAAGAAGATCTGGAATAATTTGTACAATTAGTTGGCCAGCATATGCTAACAAATATATGCACGGTGCTTTATTTTTTAGAGCGCAGCTCTGAGGGGCCCGTTTCAGGCTTGAGTGACGTCGCCGTCGGTGTCGGCGTTGCCGTCGGCGCAACCGCGAGGTCACGTGACCCTCCTGAGGTCACGGGTCCCCCCCCCCTGACGTCACACGACCCCCTCTAAGGTCACGTGACCTCAAGGAGTCACCTATCCCTCAGTACGCTTCCATCCTCCTCAAGAGATGCGCTCTAACCGGCGTTACAGGGAATTGTAAACGGCTTTCAGTTCTTTTATTTAAAAGATTCTTTTAAAAAAACTGTGGAAGCTGTACTAATGCGGTATGTGCAGGTGAGTTATAGGGTCAAAGCGACATAATACGAATAGTTAATTGTCACGATAAGTCAGATAACCCACTACAACCCGTTAGCTCTTTAATTAGAGACAATTAGCATTTAATTTTACTTTAAAACTTGACGAGCGGCGTTGAAAACCACTAAATCAGTCCATTTTAAATAGATCTGGGGCGCGTTAGAAACAAAGTGGACCGCTAAAGCTACAACTCGTGCAACCTGCGCAAGGCTGGCGGTGCGGGAACGCGGACAATAAAAGTTACATAAATTACGCGGGTAACTTTAGTAGAAACTTTAGCGCACCAGCGCGCTGCGCTTCCCACGACCTCCGAGTCTTTCCAAAATGTACTAATTTAGTGCTTTTCGATGACGCTCAGCATGTTTCTAATCGGAACCACATGTTTATTTTCACTACTTAAAAGGCTACTGAAATTTTTGTTTTGCTATTTCGCCGATCGATGGAAACGACTAGCCTCTTAAATTATGCCCTCTTGCTCGTAGAACTCATTTGCACAGACTGCATTTGTGTAGTTTTCGCGGCTTCTTTTTTTTTTTTTTCCTAACAAATCTGTAAAGCCTAGAAAGAAAAAAAGAAAAATAACCTTGGAAACACATCTTTCATTCATCATCTATTCATAATTTCCCGTTGCTCTGCTTCCAGGAGCAACAGCAGCGACCCACTGACTGGGAGCGGATACGAGTCCCGCCGGTCCTGGGGCTTCTGCCAAGACCTCCGTTCTGCGGGGTACGACCTGAACGGCACACAGGCAGGTCACGCAATACAAGGCCTGTGCACGTTCCGAGTCTCCAGTCGCTGTGCTGTGCCGCAAATATGCCATGATTTGGCCGAAGGTGGAAGAAGCCAGATAATATGGCTTCTTTCATTACGTCTTGAAGCGAGCTTTATATGTGAACCCTCCACGTGTTTCCTCGCTAAATTTAGCGGTCAAATTGGCGTCAAAGTTTCAAGTCGCTGATGTCTCGCGATACCATGAGAGATCACGTGACATTAATTGGTCCCCGCTACATTTGGAAAGGAAGTTGACGCCACGTGACCCGAGGTCGCATGACGGGGTCACGTGACCTGACGCCACATGAAGTCGTCAAGTGACGTAAAGTTACGGTGTCACGTGAACCTGGCAGGGCAGGACGTCGGGTCTAGCGACATCAGTTTCCCCGCTTGATTCAGTGAAAAAATTATCATGGCGTCAGATGACCTCGTGGTGTCATAAGGCTCCACATATGACGTCATGGTTTTATTCGACGTCAAATTATCACGCTTCACCAGTGTCACTTCACGTCATAATTTCACGTCTAAATATGGCGGGAGAATACATCCACTACGTGCTGATAAAAAGTACCGCTTGTTAAAACCCCATCAAGTGCTATCGCACCTTGATTGCCAAAATTTCTAAGACAATTTTTTTTTTTTTAATTGGAGTGAAAGGCGGAACGTGACTTCGCTATTGGCAGTAATGTTAGCGGTCCTTTCAGACCAAATGTTCCGAAATTAAAATTTAATTAAATAAATTATAAATAAATTGGCCTGCGGTGAAGTTCTGGTATTCCTCTAAAGATGTTACTAAATTACAAATAGCGCTAAGACAGGACAGGCGAAGAAGTGGACAGGACAGGCACTAACTCACAACTGACGGTTTTATACACCACGATAAAGAAGAAGGTGAAGGAAGTGCCTGGTGTTGAAAAAAGAAGAAATAAGTCCATTTCTAGCCGAAGCGCTCTAAGAAGGTTGTTAGACTAAGAGGACAAAAGTACAGTAGACCATAACGAAAATATTAAAAATTAAACAAAGGTAATGCATTTGAACTATATTGCCGCGCGCAGGGTCACGGACTTGTAGAAGGTTCTCGTTTATTCTTGCTGCGGACATAGCTTCCATCATTTATCCCTGCTTTTGTTTTTCTAGAAAGTGCGTGTTCATTCTCGCCCCGAGCGCGCTACGCTCGAACCTTCTCCGCCGAATCTTCGAGATAGTGACTCACTCTAGAGAAGAGGCCGCCCGCGACCTTGTCGAGTTAGTTTTCGCCTCAGCGTTCAATTCTGCTGTCTCGACGACTTCGACGCCCGGGACGCTTTGTTGTTATCTTCTTTTTTTTTTGTTTTTTTGTTTTGGGCACAAGTTCGCCGCATTAAACGTTTATTTCTTCCTGTTTATTTATTGCTCTTTTGGTCACCACCCGTGACAATATACGATAATATTTTGAAGGGTTAGAAAATAACCTCTAGACCGCGAGACACAAAATAAGAATAAAAAGTGAATGAGAAAATTAATAAAGAAATTAATAAAAAAATTAATAAAAATTTAATAAGTGATCGTTCATAGGCCGCCGATCAGTGCTTCGTACAGCCTATTTTCCATTTTCCATCCAACAGGTACCACACCCAAAGCTACACCGGCGCGAGCGCGAAGTTGTTATTGTGGAAAAAAAAGAAAAACACTTTTGTACTTTTTCTGCTTTATGACTTCATGAAAAAGGCGATTGCAAAGACGCAACAGAAGTGCCGTGAACTGAAGCCATTTCTTCTTCGATGAAGTTAAAGCTCTCCAGATTGCTCTACAATTGACGGTTTGAACGCGAGGAGAATCGGCCACGAGATGACCATTCAGGAGAACGTATTTCGTGATCCGCCGCCGGCAATGGCAAAGGCTCTTGATTTCGAGCGGAAATGCAGAGGCCCGCGCGGCCTTCGATAGGATGTCACAGCTTTCACGGCCTCCGCGCTTACACTGACAAGGCTGAAAACAAGGGTACAAAAAGTACAACGATAAAAGCAGTTTCCAGGGTGGAATTTTTTATGATAAATCAAGGTTCACTCGTGGCTGGTCTGGCTTGGTATAGTCATATTTAACGCGCATGTTAATGTATTTTAAAGACGTTGATTCTACAAATTTCGCCATGATTTACTGCTTCGAAGGAAGCATTGCCGATTCACCTTGAAACAACCTAGCAAGTTTTAATATAGTGCTCTGATGAACTGAAATACATCAAACGGATATCAGTGTCTGTTGACACCTCTCACATGCCATAAAAGAAATGCTACTGAAGTCCAGGCGTCAACGCCGAGAGTTGAATGACGTTTAACAGTACGTACACAGTACTGCGTCGCCTCCGCAAGCGGCGCAACCAACTTTGGTGATCCTGTTACATTACATTAAAAAAAAAAAAAAAGATTAAAGCTAATTTACTCCGGGTTCTATAGGTAAAACCGGCTGTAGCAGATGACAGCGGGGACGCAGACGAGAGGTCCGCGTTCTCTCCCGCGCTACTCTCCTCTGCCTGACGCTCCTCAGTGTCGCGTTGTAGGTAGGAGGAGCGTACAGGACGTTCCCATAATTCGTGGCGCGCTTCGCGCGCGGCCGTTGGAGGTTTCTGGAACAGGTCTATTGAGAACATAGCCGCCTCTGCGGGTGTGACAAGTAGATATGTGTCTGCAGCTTCCCTGCTGGTAGAATCAAATCTCATCAATGCTAACCACAACTTTACACTCTAATTTGAAAGGGGGCACGGTTTAGCCGAGTTTTCGGTTTTGCACAGCGCTACACTGTTCGCGCAAACAAGTGATCGTCGGCTTCTGTCTTTTTTTCTTTCTTTTTTTTAAGAATCGAAGTGTTTTTATAAAAATTACTTGTGTGGTTGGAAGTACTAATTTAAGGTACTAACCTACGCGATAAAATTTGACTCTCACCTATAAACTTTAAGAGAAGGTGCGAAAAGCCTCAATGGTGTGTGCGGCACTAGCCATGAACCGCGGTGTACGTCAATTTACATAGACAGATATTTATTTTGTACGCTTAAGTACAGGCTACCTAAAAGGCTTTGCCGTCCGTATACATGTGCCTAAGTGGCAGGACTTTATCACAGGCGTATTCATATATTCTCTAATATAAAACGTAAACCTCAAAGTATTTTTCTTTTGTCAATCGAGATAGAATTTGTTCCGTTACGTTCAACACGTCCAGCCGAGCTCACTGCAGGTATGTGAAAGAGGAGACGTGCTGGAGTTCGATCAATGAGTTCCAAATATAGCAGAATAAAACAATATGGAAGCGTGCGACAGCTAAAAGGGACGCGCCGCGCTCGCTCCACCTAGCAAGCATATCGGCAACGCGTCTAACGACAGCGTCCGCGCTACGTCACAAAGGGTAGCCCTGCCCGTTCTGACCTCTTCTAACGCGCCGACAGCGACTTGGCCGTGCACCAACGCTTTCCGCTGCCGTATTTATTGATCGCTCTCCGGAGTAAAGGATTGGTGCATCGACATTCGAAAACCTGTACGTGTCTAGCGCTGCGCTGTACCCGTTCTCTGGTCATTCGTCCCGCTGAAGTCGCTCAATCTCGGCTTTGATCGTGTCCCACGCAGTTTTAAGTGACACCGACGGCAATACACCGCCATTTGTTTCGTTAATTCTCGCTGGCATATTCCTCTGGGAAGGGCTCGTTTGTTGGACGGTCCGGAAATCTTTACTGGGCGACATACACAATTGCCAGTGAGTGATGAAATCTAGGTGAGAAGCATTTGTGGCTCCTCTTATGATCAGATTGTTCCTCGCTCGCTGGCGGATCCAGTAGACGTACAGAGATTGAGGTGATCGCGGCGGTATCCACCAACGCATGGAGGGTATCTGTTTTTGTTTTGTTTTTCATAAAATTTTCGGGTCTTGTGTAGACATATTGGTGCCAATGTGACCCCGAACGTTTTGTATAGCGTTGTGCTCAGGTAAGCTGACGTTGATTAGAAAGGTTAGCTCCTATATAGGATGTCTATGCGAAATGCTTCTTCTAAGAGCTGCACCGTGGCGCCACTGTCTTGTCGCACGCTGTTAATGCTTCCGTGCAGTGTAGTGCGAGACATCAGTTTGTTAAAACATTTGAGAGCGTAAAGCGGGGTCACACTGCTTATACCCATGATACAAAAAAACAGTCTGCAAACAGATTAGAACGAGAGATCCGTGCTTCGAATGCCGCATGGCAATGAGTTCAAGGGAAAACCTGGACACGCGGCATTCGAACCACAGATATTGCGGTGACTCGTGTCTGCAGACTGTACTTTTGTGTGATGTATGAGCAGTGTGATTCCGGCTTAATAAAATAGTTTTGTTGTTCCTTTTAGTATGATTAGTCTATGCTTAATTCATTGTGGGCTCTTATACTTCAGCTTTAACGAGATATTTACTCCAATGTGCTCGTTCATTATATTTTCAGTATTCTGTCGCAAGTTGCACGGTAGAGGCGCCTATGGAAGGCGTCGCGAGAGATTGTGGCTCAACGTGGGAGGCAGGGTGGGTATTTCTTCTGTGGTAGTATCGCATGTTGTCTAATCTGAATTTTGTACAAGCTTCTTTTACAAAATCTGAAATGCTGTAAAAAGATCCTGTAAAAGAAGTTTGTACAAACCGCCGGAAACTTCTTGGGGGACTGACAGCACTATCCGTGCCATGGTACCTGGACTTAAAGGCCGACGACCAGACTCGAGATTCTGCAAGGCAGTATATCCTCCTCATCATGAGGGAGGCGGAAACAAGCAACGGTGGACAGGGTAAAAGGGGAGAGGAGGTAGCAAGGGAAAAGTGAAAAGTGCGAACTGGTCGTCGGCCTTTAAGATAACAAGAACAAAGAATAAGGTGAGAGCTACACGGGGGCCGTCATTACTATGAATTCACCAGGCTCGGCGGACCTAAAATGAGAAGTTAACCGTCGTTACAAGTACCTTGATTAGCCAAGCTTTGTTCATTAGCTTTTA